ATGAATAGGGCTGGAGATTTTTCGCGGACGAAAAAGGCATATTTAGCGGCGAATTCGCGGCGGATCGGGGTGATTTCGCGGAAATCGAGAAATCGGATAGAATTTCGCGGAAAAGAAGAGCTGATGCTCGAGAATGTACAAATTTAATTTATTCGAGCCTCGTTCCCTCCGAAAACGAACCGGATGAACGCGCTGAGTCATTTAGATATGAGAAGCGTTTTGAAAAAGCATATTATACACTGGGAGATTCTTTTCCGCGATACTGCGGCGATTATCTGTCAACACAGCGGAATACATACTAAACGACCTCTCCGCCGCTACGCTATTGATGGGGACACTCAAACAACTGAGTGCGATTTGTGAAAGTCGTGGAAACTGCTCGGCGGCCGTGAACCAAAAGTCGGCCGGGTGGCTGAAGGTGCTGAGTTCTTTCGAGGATGACAAATACAATTTGAGTTCTGCCTCCGCGAGATTGTCGTCCTAAAACCACGGAATGCTGCGGAAGACGAATTCTGCATCAATCTCGGTGATCCGTGAGTGGGCGGGATCGAAAACTTGGCAGGCCTTGAAGAATCCGGCTGCTGGTTGACGGAATCGAGCGCTAGAGCCTTCCGAGATGTAGCTCTGTAGTTTCTCGTGAGATCTGCGTAAAGCCGTTTTCCCAGTCGAGTTTGTTTCCGAAGATTCTGATACTCGGAGCCATTGCGTCAGTAAGTCGAGGTCTTTCGCTACAGCGTGCGCCTTGACCTCACTGGTCTCAGATTTTCGGAGAACTTCCATCAGGTGGGGAGCGTACATCTTCAAGCACTCGAGATCGGACTTGACTTCAGTACAGCCACTCAGAGTGATGACGCTGGAGACGATCGAACTGGAGGAAAACTCAGCCTCTTCATCAACGAAGACAGCGTAGTCGTCCGACTGGCGAACATGGTACATCGCGGCTTCAAACCACGTGTTCCATCGCGTGACGACGGGCACAGGCGGCAAAGCCAGGGGACCCCCCTCAGCTATCAAGTAGTGGAGGAATCGAGCCTTTCGAGAAGGGCACGCAGTGAATCCTTTCTTCACTGCGACTACCAATTTGTTTACAGCTTTGAATTCGTCCTGCCATATCTCACAAATAAGGTTCAGCAAATGGGCCGTGCACGTTACGTGAACGGCGTTCAGGAAAACCGCCTTCAAGCTGTTGCTCCACGCCTTATGCATGTAGGCGGCGTTATCTGTCACGAACGCGCTGATCTTAGAGAACGAGACCTCATATTTGCAAAGCTCACTAATCACAGCTTCGCTCACGGTCTTGTAATTCGTAGAGTCGAGGACGACGGAATTCGGGAGCAGAGCTCGCAATTTGTGCCGATTTTGATCTTGCATCGTTGACTCCTGCAGGCGATCTACAGCGAGAATGTTGAAAACATACCGGTCCTCAGCATCAGTCGTCTCGTCGCAGACGATCGCCAGCGAGCTTGATTTCTTCAGAATTTCTTTGAGCTCATTCATATGGGCATCGAAAACGGTCGGGAGGTATTTCTGGCGCAGGTAATACGAAGCGGACGGAATCGTCCCGACGTTCTTGAGGTTGCGTTCCAGATAAAGTTTCAGAGATGATTTGTCCAATTTGTAGAGTGGGATATTCGCGCTGCAAAACTCTTTGACAAGGCTCAGGAGTTCCATCTTTCGGTGCTGTTTCTGGGTAGACTGATTTTCGAACACTTCGGAAACTACCCTCTGGAGCTTACGTTCCTTCACGATCGAGGCTTCTTTTCCGGCAACCTTCCGCCGATGCGACCCCGATAGAATATGTTTGCTGCAGGAGTCCTTGCGAACATCGTCGATTGGAACATTACAGCTGCTGCAGAAGAGGAGACCACCGCTCACGTGGAACGTACCCGAGGAGAACTGCCTGGCGCGCATAGCCGGGGTGATATTCTTTGCCACCTTCGAAACTGGATCCATTTCATGAGGGTTGACCAACCGGGATTCTTCTCTCGATTCGTCCACAACTTCATCAACTTGAACGCTGAGCGGTGCTGAGCTAACTATTCCTAGCGTTGGCAGAACGAACCGAACGCCATTCTGCTCTCTGAGAACACCTGACGCGTGGTGGGTTGCCGAACGTCGACGTAGGTGTCGAACGAACATTCGACGTCCAACCACATTCCGGACGAGGAAATCAAATCCGTATGGAGCGTGCGCCATCACAACCGATACTGACCCCCGCAGGGTCCCTGTGAAGCAAATTATTGCGCTCCGCTGAATTTCTCTAGAGCGAGAAATCGGCGTAGGGAAGAATTATTGCGTCGAAGCATCGCAGTACCTGCTTTGTCGCGCGAAATCGTCGGAAATCGCGGAATTCGCGGCAAAATGCCGAAATTCGCGGACGACCCCGAAATTTGCGATTCCGCGATTTCCGCGATCGCCGCGAAAAATCTCCAGCCCTAATAATGAACATTCATTATCAACAAATTGGGCGATAAGGACCATTGCCAGTTAGGAACGTGTATGCTGCCCACCGATATCTTCGAGGTCCCGTTGAAACAAACCCAACAGGCCCTGCGATTCTTGTTTAAGCCCACAGTATCGCTCTTCTCGCGTCGTATGGATTTCTTCCGGATGCAACGAGAGGGCAGGACCCTCACGGATCTGTTGGGCGCCGTGAATACTAGATTCAAGAGGGCCGAAATGGACGCAAGTACTCTCACGACGGAACACCTGAAGTGTTTCATTTTCATCTCTGCTTTGAGTGACCAAGAGGACGCGGCGTTAAGACAACGAGCGATCAGGAAAATGGAAGAACAGCCAGACACGAATCTAAGAAGTCTGCACTACGAACTTCAGAAATTCCTAGAGTCGAAGCGCTCCCTACTGGCTACCAGAAAATCTAATGATAGCACTATCAACGGAGTCCATGCAAAGACTCCAAGCGAATCTTCCGACGCCCCCCGCTCAGCGAGCAACCTCAAATGTTACCGCTGCGGGAGATCGAACCACAATTAGAACGATTGTCGTTTCCGCAGCGCCAAGTGTCACAAGTGTTCCAAAGTCGCTCATTAGGCGATGATGTGTAGGCTATCGGGGAAGAAGATAACAAATCCTAATCCAAACCGAAGAGTGGAGCGGATAGAGGCGGATAAGCAGAACCCAGAGATAGAGAGAAAGGTCATGACCGATGGCACGCCAGCCACCTTGACGGTTGACACCGGGGCCGCCGAAACCTTGATCCCCATGTCTTTATGGAAAAAGCTGGGCTCGCTGGGCTCGCTGGGGCTAGACCCTTCTACGATAAAACTGACAACCGCAAGCGGGGCGTCCCTGCACACGCACGGAAAACTCTACGTGAGAGCCAAAATGAATGGGGAGGAGTTCCCTGCGTGCTGCTACGTCACTGATAAGTGTGCTCTTCTCGGGCGCGACTGGTTAGTAAGGGACCAGGAGTTGATGAATGTCTTAGCACAAACCTCGAGAAAACGTGACACCTCGATCGAAGCTGTGGAGGGACATGGCGCGGGGGAAGTGGTCCCTCATCCGACATGGGAGGGCGCACCGAAGATGAACAATCGTGAACAAGCGACGAGAAGTCCAGCAATCGCCAAATTGGAAAAAGATCTGAATAAAGAGATCCAACAGAAGTTCCCAGCTGTCTTCGACGACGAATTAAGGAAGTGAAGAGACTGGAAAAAATAGACTGTCGTTGAAGGCAGACACGGAGCCGATCTACATTAAAGCGAGATCGGTGCTTTACGCCGTCCTGCCAGCTCTCTCCAAAGAGCTGGAGCGACTCGTGAAATTAGGGGTACTGAAATCGACCACAAATTCAGAATTCGCCGCGTCCGTAGTAGTCGTCAGGAAAAAGAGAGGAGAAATCAGGCTTTGTGCGGACTTTTCCACAGGACTCAACAGCGCTCTGCAGGACGACAAGTACCCGCTGCCGACAGCACAAGATATTTTCAGTCGATTGGCGCGAGGGAAATTTTTCTCTGAAATCGACCTCGCAGGAGCATACCTGCGGGTCGAAGTTCACCCCGACGATCCAAATCTAATCACTATCAACACGCCCAAGGGGCTGTTCACGATGACCAGATTACCCTTCGGGCTGAATGATGAATATTGTCCATTCCACCTTTCGCTCTAGATACTGAAGTCCCTGATCTGGAACGGTCACCGACCGGTCACCACTTAACTCGTTCTCAGTGTTTCCGGACTGACCTGAATTCTAGTGGTCTTCTGTGCTCAACCCTTTCCTTCGGCTCGCTGTATATAATATAAGGACTATAAACCTCAGCCAGCTGAGGGGGAGCCCAAGACTGACTCTAGTATTCCGTGTGATCATTCTAGCCGAGGTATCGACGAGATACGATTATCTCTTCACCGTTATCAGCACGAATTGCTCAGAAAAGATAAGTGATACCGTGAACCGAAGTAAAGTGTCCATCTACAATGTCCAATCCTTCGACTTCGAGAGAAAACCCCCTTTACGGCTACGTCCAAGTTGGAGAGGACGACGACGGTGGAAACACCCCGGTATGCGACAGAGACGAACCAACTACATGCGGTCCTCGACCAAGAGTAGTTAGCAGCATTATCCTGGCTGCTGACGGGAAGAACTACATCGCCTGGAAGACCATCATCCCATCGCTTCTCGACGAGGAACCGTTCGCCTGGGATGTCGCCCGAGGACGCCTCAACCGTCTCCAGAGAAAGCAAAGACGAAGGAAGGCAAGAAACAGAAACAGGAGTTCACCATCGGAAATCGAGCCGCACGATACATCCTGATCAACCCGATCCGCCCGGACCTGGCCAGGAGATTTGGAGGCGAATCAGGATCAAGTTCTGACAATCAGACGGTACCAAGAAGACCCTGTCCGTCGCCAAATTCCCGCGCTACAGATGCCAGCCCGGATCGACTGTGTCAGAGAATCCCCTAAACTACCAGAAGATCGTTTTTGAGATGAACCAGTCAGGCTTCGCGCTCGATGATGATCTGAACACTTCCCGTCTGCTTGAGTCTCTGCCAGCGTCCTGGGAACCCTTCAGGCAAGCTTGGAGTGCCCGTACCGACAAGGACAAACAACTGGATATCCTGACGGCTTCCATCCAAGCTGAGGCAGTAAGACGCGGTGCCAATGACAATCAGGCGACCGCTATGTTCTCCCGACTCAACATCAACCGCAACGCCCCTCGACGAAACTACCCACGAAGTTTCTCACGACGTAGAACGACGTCTTCACAATCATCAGAAGTCGTGTGCTACAATTGCAACCGGAAAGGCCGCATGCAGACCCAATGCAGAGCTCCACGCCGCAACAACAACGAAATAAATCGGAATCGCAACAACAACAACCGCGGAAGAAACCAGCCCCAACGACAGAATCAGCCGCAAGCCAACTTCTCTGAAGCCCTCAATGTGGAACCGGCTGAGGTGAACTTCGACGACTTAGGTGAGGAATTCCTAGTTTATAGCGGAACGACCCATCAGTCACATGCGTTCAAGTCGTAAGTGGATGGTCGACTATCAACCCTCCGAGTCGCATCGAGAAGTTAGGCTAGGCGGAGCGCGAGTGCTGAAAGTAGCAGGCTCCGGAACTGCGCTGGTTACAGTCTCGTCAGAAGGTCAAACGCAAGTTCTAGAACTAAGGGAAACTTTGCACGTTCCCAGCTTGCGCCGGAATCTTATATCAGTAGCTAAATTGGCTGACGATGGTTACGGAATTCAGGTCACCAAAGATAACATCAGATTAGTGCGAGACAGTGTAAAAGTGTACGCGGAGAGATGCAACAATCTCTATGTTGTTCGAGCCACGGAAATCCCTGAAGCTATCATCAGTTCAAGAGTTCAGCAAAAGATCAGTCTCTTGGAGGCGCACAAGACCTTCGCGCACATCAACGTTGATCGAGTGAGAAAGATGCTGCAGCGAGAAGGACATGAGATAGAGAATGACTATACATATAGTCTGTGAATCATGTACCCGCGGAAAGATGCCGCGTGCGGTAAATAGGTCTAGACCGATGAGCGATAGAGCTCCACGACCCGGCTACATTTTCTCCGATACTTGCGCCGTCAGTAACAGGTTCTACGGCGGTGCTTACTATTTCTTGACTCTAAGTGATGACATGAGTCGATATAGGAAAGTCTACTTTGTCCAATCAAAGGACCAAGTGCCAGATTGTATCGAGTCTTTCACTCGATGGTTCAAGAACCAGACCGATCACGATATCTACCACTTCAAATCAGATGAAGGAGGAGAATTCAAGAATAAGAGAGTTGCCGAAATTATGGATAGGATAGGCGCGGAGATCAGTTATTCGCCACCTTATACTCCCACGCTAAATGGTGTCAGCGAACGCTTGAATCGCACGCTTTTAAATTTAACTCGAGCCATGCTAATTGATGCGAAACTACCGAAAGGACTGTGGGCTGAAGGAGTCAACTTCGCCGCACATGTCCTGAATTGTGTCAAAGTGCACAAAGATTCGGACAAAACTCCCTTCGAGATTATCCATGGCCGAAAACCTTTTCTTAAGAAGATTCAAGCCTTCGGTACACCCTGCAACTATTATAATCGAGATCCTGATCGAAAGAAATTAGATGACCGAAGTCTCCCTGGCTGAATCGTCGGAACCGACGAGGACGGACTATCCTATAGAGTTTGGCTACCCGGTTCAACGCGGGTCATCCGGACAAAGGATGCGAAAATCGCCAAGCCAAGCCCGCTAGATGATGATTCAGAGAATCAGTCAAGTGAGACGGCGCAGAGTGGAGAGAGCAGCAGCAGAGATGGACTGACTGCCGATGCTGACGAAGAAGCGGAGCGAGCACCTGAGCCCTCCGTAGAATTAGCCGAGGAAGGATTAGATGCCGGTGCTTCCGGAGAAGTACCTGCCGCCGGAGCGGCTGTCGACAGGCAAGATGTTGAGGTTAACCCACCTAGTCATGCAGGCCGCAGACTTAGGGATCGATCCAAGCTGAAGGCGCCTGA